AATTATAATAAAATTCTATTGTTATACTGTATTGTATAAACTAATTATCGCACACATTCTAAGACTATCTTGCATTTTATACGGTTTACAGTAAAATACTAAACGCCCTTTAACATAAAATAGACTATTATTATAATAGATAACACACTTACACAGATATGGGCTATGCTAACACTAGTGAATCATAATACAGTACAATAATTTAGAATAATGAATTTACGAATGCTGGCTTAGTATTAATAACTTATTTGCTAGTTGTTAAAAAAATACTTTATCACCTTGTAAAGTAAAGTTCTTTAGAATGTACCAAGAAGTACGGTAAGCATATTATAAAAATTGATTTATAAATTGATATACCTATCAATATATAACTTTTAATACAAATAATAATAGTGTAAATCGGTATACATAATAAATATTGAATTTTAATAAAAGCGAGAATTTATTGTATATTCTTTACTAAAAAGATTTTTTAACATTAAATAAATAAAATGTTTCCCAAATTACAAATTATTTAATAACATTAACTATAAATACAAAATGATGTCATAATTTTAGAAATAATTTAATAACTCAATACTTATCAAGAAAATCATTGTATAGCATTAAATGCAATTCAACTAAAACAAATTAATTTAAAATAGTCATTTCGGACTAATCTTTAAAAATATTTGTCGTCAAATTTATTCATTTTATTTCGATTATTCATTTTAAATATATATTTCAATCCCTATAAGAGGACTTATGTAATATAATTATTTAGAAATTATCACTTCTATTAAAACAATGGCTCAGACATCAGATGTGTTCAAGAGTTGGGACCATTAGTTATGGAATCGCTGGTAGAAGACGTGACCACATTTTCCTGATCTTCACTCGAGTTCTTAACAAAAGCCGAGTCCTGCGAAGAATTGGCGGCACTCTTAGAGTCAGCGCTCGAACTCGAGCCCACTTCAGATGTTAGCAATGGTTCGTCACAAGTAGTACTCTCAGGAAAATCTTTTCATTAAAATATCGTTAAATTTTACGTCAAATTGCATTAATCATAACAATTACCGGTTGTAGGGATCGGCGCTTCAGATGAAGATAAAGATGTGATCGTAGGTGTGGTGAGACTATTGCTGATGGATGTGCTCATTATGGAAGAGTTAAAAT